CACAAACTAAAGAAAACAATTGAACTATGGAAAACTCTAACAGTACTTAAGTAGCTGTGCTAAATTTTGTCATAATCTCCTTGCTGTTCCATTATACCATTTCTTGCTCATATTCCAACCCCACTTCTCAATTTCTAAATTTACAAAAGACTCGAAGCTTTTAAATAAAGGTATAGCATAGCTTTTTACTACAAAATTAAAGAATAAGTTAAACTCTCTAATATTATGATTTTTCAAAAAGAGCTTCAAACAGAAACAAATTAAAGTGCCTTTAAGTGTCAAGGTTAATTTTCTCCTGCTTCAAAATCTCAAATCTGAATCATCTTCAAGAGACAGACATTGCTAAAGCTTAACTGATCACCTCTTGGGACTCATTCATTCAAAAGCAATTAAATGGCTACTATGTGCCAGACAGTGTGTGGATGCTGAACCATGCAAAGTTCAACAAAGTTTGGCTCTTGACCTAATGAAACGCAGAGATAAATAAGAAACAGGAAAAGGAGAAAGAGAACTTTACAATAATTTAATTTATTAATCATAATGGTATAACTGTGTGTCACTATTATGGAAGCACGGGTGAGAGACACCCAGCCCAGCCTGGAAGAGATGGGGTTTCGTGATGGAAATGACCCTTGGGCTGAGTCATGAAGGATAAGCAAGGAGCCAGGAGGCCTTCCTAGCACAGGGACAAGTTGGGGTGAAAGGAGATTTTTGAGGAGGAATATGGCAGAAAGAGAGAAGATAGCTCTACTTGGAGAGCTTTCTGCATCACATTACAGAGCCCATATCGTATACTGGAAGCAGCAGGTGCCACCGAGAGGATCTAACCAGGAGGCTACGTGTTCATTTTTGTGTTTTAGGGAGATCGCCGTGGAAGATAATAATACAGGAGAGGATGAAAGGGGAATAGGACTGGAGGCAGGCAGACTGCCTAGAGCAGGGATCAGCAAACTTCTTCCGTAAAGAGCCAGACAGTAACACAAAGTAAGGGGTTTTGGAAGCTCTACCGTCTCTGTGGCAACTAATCCACTCTGTTATCGTGTGAAAGCAGTCGTGGTAAACAAATATGCATGGCTGTGCCCCAATAAAGCTTTATTTGTAGAAACAGGCAGCAGGTTTGGCCTTCAAGCCTTGGTTTGCTGACCCCAGTCTAGAATAGTTGTTTTCTGTCCAAAAGAACTTTCTGCGATAATGAAAAGGTCTATAGATGTTCTACCCAATTCGGTAGACACATGGGGCTAGGAAGCACTGGAAACGTTACCAGTGAGCCTGAGGAATTAAATTTTTTATTTTATTTAATTTTAATTAAATTAAATGTAAATAGTCACATGTGGCTTGTGGCTACTCTACTGGACAGTACAGGGTTAGAGGCCGGTGCAGGAGCCCAGGCAAGAGATGATGAACTAGGGCACTGACAGCAGAGATGGAGAGGAAGTGGCCAAGGCAAGAAGTGGTAAGGAGGTGATACGTAGGACCTGGGATGGACCAAACACAGGTGAGGGAGAAACAAAGATGATTCCCACATGTTGAGCAGAGATAACCAAGAGAATGGCCAGGCCACATGCTGAACAGGAGCATATAAGAGAATACAGAGGGAAACACGTTGCTTTCTATTTTAGACATGTTGATTCTGATGTGCCACCTGGGAGGAGAAAACACTTGACTATAATACAAAGAAGTAGGTAATATTAAATATGCTCTTTTTATAGAGAAAGCAACTGTAGTACAGGAATGTTACATAACTTAGCCAAGGTCAGAGCAAGTAAGCGGCAAGGTTAAATTGCAGCTTGAGCTTATATGATTCTAAAATTCATGCAGAGTCCATTACATCACATTGAGCAAATGGGTAACAGCTGAAACCCTGAAAGCACAACTCACTCAGGGAGAAGCACAGAGAAGATCGGTGGGCCCATAAGAGAGCCCTGGGGAACACAAGCATCTAAGGAACTGTCTCTGACAAAGAAGACTGGGAGACGATGGTCAGAGAACTACAAGAACCAGGTGAGTGCAGGGTCACGAAAGCAAGGGGAGTTATGGCATTACAAGAAGGAGGTGGCCGACAGCATCAAGTCCACAGAGAGATACAATAAGATAGGCACCGAAGAGAGTTCACTGGATTTTGCATCTGGAAGTCAATGGTACCTCTAATGAAATCGTTCCAGCAAAATGACAGAAGAGGAAACCTAATTTTGATGGGTTAAAGAACAAAAAAGCTACTACAAAGTAGACAAAGCAAACATAAACTATGCACTTCTAGTGCTGAGTAAATTTTAGCATACTGAATATACACTACATTTATCACTTACTGCATATGTACTGAATGACAAGCACTATGCCAGGTGCTTTACACACATATGTAAACATATAACAAAACATATAACCACATAGAATCTTGACAATAAACTGTAAGGCCTATAGGTATCATTATCCCTGTTTTACAGGTAAGAAAACTGAGGCTCAGGAAGATTAAATAATCTTCCACTCACACACAATGGTAAGTGGGGGAGCTTGAATTTAAACCCAGGTCTTCTGACTTCAGAGAACGTGCTCTTTGCTCTCTATACTTTCACATCATCGGAGTCTTTAAAAATTGCAAAAGAACTCTTATTTTAAAAATTTTAAATGGCCAAGCCTAAGGAACTTAGTATCTTCTTGAAGAAATAAAATTATAACATATGAAACACTGGCAAACAATATAAAACAGTACATAAGTACCTGGGAAAGCAGCAGATCTGTAATCTAATCTCCCCTGTTTGGAGGTGGAAGGACCATCCCTTCCACCTTTGGCAAGAGAAAAGGGTGATGAGGGTAATTGCTTGGTAAGCATACTAATGGTATTTGTAGTAGAAGAGTCTTCGTCCATGGGATGCTTTTAGGATATACATAGTCTAGTATTGCTTATGATAAATGAACCTAGAATGTATGGATTTATGGGGTTTGACCCCTGCCCCAGGAAAGTTATATAAGCTATGTAACTATCTGAGTATTAAATGGAGATGGCTTCATAACCAAGAGAGCTCCTTCCATGTCAGCAATATGAACTATACATATCGCTTAGAGACCTCATAGGTAACCTCATTCCAGAGTATGCCCAGTGCAAAAAAGACCTAGGGAGCCATGCTGATGGTCCTGAACATCTCCTTGCTTTGCCAGTATCTCGTGATTACTTGTACTCTTGAGATTATTAGTAAGGACTGATACAGGGTAAGCTCCCTAACTCACATGAGTCTGATTTGACTCCCAATTCTCTGGGCTATCTCTGTATTAAGTTACAAAAGGCTACATGTAATTGTGGGAGCCTTCCCTGGGTTTGGGATTTTGACCTAAGACTTGAAAGATAGGTAAATTTTTCGAAGATGGAGGGAAAATAGAGGATGGGAATAAAGGAAGAAAAGTGAGAAAAATCCACAGGTGCGTGAGACAGTAAGGGTGCAAAACTAACTCTAATGAGTGGTAAGAAATAAGGCTGGAGACATGGCGCACATCACAGAGAGCTTCGAAAGTTCAGAGAAGAATCTAAGGAGGATGCAGTGTTTAGTAAGAAAGTAAGGTACTGAAAGTGGAACACAAAAAAGATGACTTTGGTAGCACTGTGAGGAAAGGACTGAAGAGTGCGTGAATGTGGAATTCGAATTAGGAAGTCAGTTGGAAAGCTATCGCAGTAATCAACCATGGAGATCCCGAAGGCCCTAAACTGGGACCATGCATGTGGAATGAAAGGAGCAGCTAAGCATTTCACAGAAAAAAATGTCAGACCCTGTCAAATGACAAGATAAGGGTAATAAAGGATAATAATAAACCCATTGTCAAAAATGAGCAACTACCTCCCTCCAGCAGGTGGAGCTTAATTTCTCTCCCCCCACCCCCTTTGAGAGTGGGCTACACTTCATGCCTTGCTTTCAAAGAGAGTAAAGAAAAGGAGTGGAGAAACCTGGCAAACACCACCTCAACCACATGATGAAAGTTCACATCCCCAGTGATGTCACATGGATATAATGTAGCCCCTGATATGTGATGAGAAGGGCACTTCACCTCTATAGGATTCTTTCCGAAAACCTATAACCTCCGTCCAGTTATGAGAAAAACAGGCAAATCCAGACTGGAGGACATTCTACAGAATAACTGGACAGTATCCCTTAACACTGTCAGGGTCATGAAAAACAAGGAAAGACTAAGAATCTGTTACAGACGAGGGGAGACTGGGGAGGTGTGACAACTAAATGCAATATGGCAGCCTAGACTGACGCGAAGAACAAAAAGAAGATACTAATGGAAAAACTCCCGAAATCCAACAAAGTCTGAAGTTCACTTAATAGTAAAGTATCGATGCTGGTTTCTTAGTTTTGACAATATGTTCCATGACAATGTAAGATATTAATAGGGGAAACTAGGTGAAGGGTATATGGGAGTTTCTGTGCTATCTTTGTAACTTTCCTGTAAATCTAAAATGAAAAGATTATTTTAAAAGAGGGACTAAGATAATGTTGGTGTCAGAATTTGGGAACAGGAGGAAGCTGGTGTCAGGAATATTAACTGGACCCAAGATAAATCCATTAAAACAAATTATCATCATACCACAAAGAGAGCTGGGTTCAAGAGCCAGGACCACCACCTTCTAGCTTGGGAATCTTGGATAAGATTCCCTAACCTTTCCAAGGCTCAGTTTCTTCATTTGTACAATGGTGATAATTCATATCACATACTCTCTCTTTCTTTTTTTCTTTTTTTTTTTTTTTGCGGTACGCGGGCCTCTCACTGTTGTGGCCTCTCCCGTCGCGTAGGCTCAGTGGCCATGGCTCACGGGCCCAGCCGCTCCACGGCACGTGGGATCCTCCCGGACTGGGGCACGAACCCGTGTCCCCTGCATCGGCAGGCGGACTCTCAACCACTGCGCCACCAGGGAAGCCCATACTCTCATTTTTATTTTTAGGATCTTGGGGAAAAATTTCCCCAAACCAAACAGCCCAAGTTTAAAATAATTAATGATATCAGTAACCTACCGCTGATTCACAAAAGGGCTGGAAAGTTCTGCGAGCAGGCGAAAATTCCCAATGTATCCCAGCACTCCATCCCTCTGGGTGATAAAACATAAAACATAATGTCAGGGAAAACATTCTTATCAAAATTTCCAAACACTGAAGAAACATTCAATAGCTTCTCAGCATAAAATAATGATCAATATAAACACAAACCAAGTCTGCTAAACGGATTTTCTTCTCCGTGAAAACTTAGAAATGTCATTAGAATTCTACAGCATTTTTTAAAGATAACATGTTGTACACTTATGTTCACTTATGTATACCATATTCACTTAGAAAAAGAGATTTCAAGCAGTTGTCTCACGCTAAATTAATGAATTCTGCACATAGCCATTAGTAACAGCATTCTCAAATTACCATAGAAATAATGATTAAAGTAGTGTGAATTTAGGAAGTTGAGAAATTTTATAGCAATTAAATATCAAATAGGAATGTAGTTTAATATCCATTAGGAGCACCTTAAAAATCTCAAGAGTGTATTTTACTTCCTAAGTAACAATATATAAGCCTGTGAGCAGATACACATTTGTCAAACATAACAACACATGTTAAACCATATCTGTCATATTTGACCTGAAAAATATATTTGTCAATCAGAAGATACTATAGCTAAAACACACACTTTGGGGACCTTTCTGAATTTAGAAACATAATGCCTAGTACTTGCCACTAATTTAATAATCGGAAAAGTATAGTAGAGTTAATAAGCATTAGAAAGAAAACCGAAAGTATACATTTCAAAAATTTTATGTAATTTTAAGTGTTACTAGGTAAATGGAGTCATTCTAGCACTTCCAATTAAATCAATTGCGATTACACACCAAAAGAACCTGCCCTCAAAACATCAGATATACCAGAATTTCAGAAATACTTTTCCTACTGTTTATACCACACTGCCTTCCAAATGGGAAAAATACAAAGCAATAATGAAAAAAAAAAATGAATGGACTTTTATTTGAAGATTCTCAGTTCTTCTCTATGTGAATTATTTTAGGGATTAAAAACTGAGAGCTGGACTGCAAGAGTTAGCTTTCCAAAATGAATCTAAAACTTTTTATAAACTCAAACTCACTGTCCTTAGTGAAACTGAAATGGGTGATGAGGAAGAAGAGGAGGACAGCAGAGAGACAAAGACAGTGGCCAAGACGAGCAGTGTGCACAGAGGTGGCGGGAGAGGAGGATGCTCAACATTTTAGAATCAACCAGACACAGCCACAGCAGTCCAAAGCCACATGACGATACACGGGAAATAACTACGCACGTGTGTTATCACTTTAACACAGAAATACGTGTAAATTTGAAATTACATATTATTCTGTACTGTTTACTTTTCTGTTACAATAAATGCATTTATTTAAACAACAGGACCAGTTAATGGTGGCAATTAGTAATTAACAGTGGGACTAAACAAATAAAATTGTGGAAAAATATAATATTTTTATAATGTTTCTTTCTGGCCTTTTATTTTTCTTTGTTAGATATTTAAACGTAGTAGGTTACATTATTTTTTTTTATTATGTCTTTAAGAAGCATAAATGTAAGACTTTTAAAAAGGAGAATGTAAATACAATAGGACTAAACAATTATTACCTGTATTTAATAAAAAATAATAATGATATCTTTCTATCCATGACACAGTAGGATATTTTTACTCCTTATTTCCTTTTCCAATAATACTTTTCTGAAATGCCTGCGGCCTTTAGTATATCCTTATCTTTTTGCAGAAGTAAAACAACTACAGTTAAATGTAAAATTCACTTTGACTTGTAACTCTGCTCTTAGAGGCCCACATTACTGTTATCAGTCCAGTATGATGATCTCAAGCTAAATATTTTCTCAACAAAGGTGTTTAAGCATAAAATACATAAAATTTTACTTACTAGCAATAGCAGGCTTTTAGAATTATAAGAATTAAGTTTCCAGCTCTCTAAGAGTATCTATCCACTTTGTATCTACAGGCTTGTTCTAGTAGATCAGCTGTTTGTAAGGTCATTTGTATGTATAAATTCATCGTATATGCCATCTATTTCTAAAATATCTATCATTTTAAGACACTCTAGAGTACCCTAGATGGATTCCAATAAGTTACAATTTTAGTTTAAAAAAAAGTACTATTTAATGTAGCTACCCTTTTCTGGTAACATTTTTGTGTTTTGTTTTGTTTTTTTAAATTTATTTATTTATTTTATTTTTTTGGCTGCATTGGGTCTTCATTGCTGCGCGCGGGCTTTCTCTAATTGCGGCGAGCGGGGGCTACGCTTCGTTGTGGCGCGTGGGCATATCTCGTTGCAGTGGCTTCTCTTGTTGCAGAGCACGGGCTCTAGGCACGCAGGCTTCAGTAGTTGTGGCACAAGGGCTCAGTAGTTGTTGCTCACAGGCTCTAGAGCACAGGCTCAGTAGTTGTGGTGCACGGGCTTAGTTGCTCCACAGCATGTGGGATCTTCCTGGACCAGGGCTCGAACCCGTGTCCCCTGCATTGGCAGGTGGATTCTCAACCACTGTGCCACCAGGGAAGCCCCCATTTTTGAGCTGTGAAGCAGTTTTATTTCCAAAAAATGAGCCATTATTTCACTGTATGAGTTTTTGTCTCAATCTGCACATAACATCAAGCAATGCAGTTTCTGAGAGTTCATCCTTTGCTAGCTCCTCGTGGCCTCTTCGATGATCATCAGTTTTGGAGAACCAGTCCACAAATATCTGTTTCACTGCAGATATTCTATTTGGGCAATTCATTATAATTAAGCAATTAAGTTTGGGGAGGCAGGGATAGTTAATGAATGATCATGGGCCTGGGGTGTGCAGGCCAGGATTTGAACCCTAGCTCTCCTAAGTGACCTTGGGCAAAGCTGACCAAAACCTCAGTTTCTCCATTTGTAAAACAGGCAGAATACCATCTTTATGACAGAATTGATGTGAGAATAAGACAAAATGCAGGGCTTTTACTATAAAAGATGAATCATATTAATAATCACTCCTCCAAAAGTAGTTAATGTTACTTTCTAATTGCTGCAGAAAAAAATCCAGGTTGAAAAGGAAAATAAATACTTCTAAGAGAAGACTCACCTGTTTTATTTACCCAATAGGTTATATCAACCTTTTACCTCACTTTGCACAACTATACTGCATCCAACCCAAACTTAATTCTTCACCACAAATTTATGCTCATGACCATCAAAGCATGGTAGAGTTAAAATGGCCTCTGAAGATTGCCTATTTCAGTTACCCACAGATTTTTTAAATCCCTTCTACAAAAGCTCTTCCAGGTTGCCCCCCAGCATGGACAACTCCACGGTGAGTAGAGAAGCATCTCCTAAAGCAGCTTTCCAAAAGTTCCAGAACTACACTGTACCCTCTTTTTTTTTTTTTTTTTTTTT